TCAACTTTTGTGAAGACAATCTCGAAGCCCCAAGGTGAGAAGAGAAAGATATTTTCCCAAATGCAAGAGAGTGCTAGAAAGGATGTGAAACGTGCTTTTGGTGTGCTTCAATCCCGATGGGGCATCGTTCGATACCCAGCACTGTCATGGGATGAAAGGAAGCTTTGGGAGGTGATGACTGCTTGTGTGATCATGCACAACATGATCATCAAGGACGAGCGTGATGACAGTATCTTTGACCAAGGATTTGATTTTCAAGGTGACAATGTTGAGCCCCTGCACCAAGAACCGGCCACGTTTGATCAGTTTGCCCAGTTCCACCGTGAGCTGCGTGATTGGCACACTCATGTGGATCTTTAAAATGACTTGGTTGAGCACGTGTGGGAGCATATTGGCAACCGATAGATGTATTGGTTCATTTTATGTTCATTCAAGACAATTTCAATTTGGTTGTTAAACTATCTTTATTAAAGAGAATTTTGATTGGGTTGTAAAACTATTTTAATTTTCAAACAATTAATATTTGGACGTGCAAACTTGTTTTCATATGAAAATATGGGCATTTTAGGCCCTGGCGGACGAGATGGGGCAAATGGATGCGGCCGCGCGCTGGGCGCACGGCCACTGCTTTCCAGGACATGTCCGGACACGACCCATTGTCCTACCCAAACGAACAGAATCCGGACAAAATGGACGTCCGTTTGGGGTCGCATGGTGGAGTTGGCCTAACTCCTAACATGACCAAATTGGCCGGCGGTCTGCTCATGTGTGCCCGGTCCGTGGTCTGCACACAACCGCCTCTGCCTCGAGCACCCGACCCCAATATGAGGCTCCCAACGGTAATATCTCCGCGCCGTGCTGTGTTGCCGATCGACCGACCCCTCCTGTCCTGCTCCTGCCCACACGGTCCGGATCCAGTCCCAACCCACCACCGCCAGCTCCACTTCCCTTCGGTTTCTGCTGCTCGTCGAAGCCGTCTCCGGCAAGGACCTGGCCGGCGACACCGCCTCTTCCATGGCAGCCCGGCCACGGCCAGGCACGCCCTTTCCTCCCTCCCCGCGCTCTGGCCGTGGCCGGTCTGCTCCTCCTCTCTTCATCCGGGGCCCCGGGTCGTGCCTCTCATCTGGTTTGGATTTGCTCGTCCCCGATTCACCATCCGTTTAGGCTTAGAACAGCAGCGCCTCATTTGGTTTTTTCTCGTGCTCGGTTCGTCCATTTGGAATCGCGCCTGGTTTGATTTTGCTCGTCCTTGCCGTCGCCTGTTTGGGGTGATGGGGTCACGTCCGATTCGATTTTGCTCCTCCTCGCCTTGTCTGTGTAGAGTCGCTTCTGGTTCGATTTTGCTCATCCTCACCGCCGTCCGTGTATAGTCGCGCCTAATTCGATTTCGCTCGTCCTCGCCGTTGTCCTGATGCGCTTGCGTTTTCTAGGTCCGTCTCGCCTCGTCGGGGGTCTCCGTCTCATTTGCGAACTAGAAATTCTGTCTGCATGCGCTTGTGTTATCCGAACTAGCAATCCTGGGTTTCGTGTTCGCGTCGGTTGCAGGAACGCACGGGTCTGGTTTCGAAATTGGATTACGGCCGGAGACGGGGAGCGATGTTCGTTTATGGTGCTAGTTCAGACCGGTTCCTCCGTTCCGTCACCTGCATTGCTCTTGGTGATTTTCAGAACTGAAATGCATGCTCTCTTCTGTCAGTTCTTGTTGGCCCTCTGTCAATTCTTGAGTTCGAGGGTTCGTTAATTCTTGAGTTCTTGTTGTACCGGCTAGGCGTGTGTGCTCTCAATATAGATGTAGAGACGGGGTGATTCCTTACGCTTGTTCTGATGGTGTATACTGTTTATGTTCTTTCCAATTTGTTTCTTTTTATCATGCTTTGCTTGTGTGTTGCCATGTGGCCTGCTGCTTGACTAATTGAACACCTGTTGCTGCTACTGTTGGACAAGGTTGCTTCTTTTTTTCCTGATGTTGCTATTTCCATTGAAGTACTCATAGGAGTTATAGATGGTCTGCTGCTAGTTAGTTCCCCTTAGACTACATTCTAGATTGCATATCATAACTCGGGCATATAATTCTGTTGTGAGCATAACTCCAGAATTTATTTATTCATGAAAGCACGTTCATCACATGTTTTTTATCAATGTTGCTAACTTCTGTCACATCCGTTTCCTCAATTTCAACGAACCAATAATGTGGACATGTGTTGCTTGTTTTCTTGTGATGATGGTGATCCAATTGACTAGCCCAACTCTTATGCTCTGACATTTGTTTATCCCCGGTTAGTGTGCCTGAAAAATTATTGTTTGTCATGTTAAATTGTATGGCATCAACTCGGTATTGTGATTAATGACCTAGTATTTGTTTAGTGTACATAGTTGACTTCTTTTTTCTTAAATTTTTAGTGATATGCGTGTTTGTTATGTCTTATGTGGATATCATATTCTTTTTTTGTATTACTAATGTCCAGTCAATGAAAAATGCTTTTCTTGCTTTGCCTAGACTTTGTGACAATTAACTTATAGTACGATCATTGATCATTGAGCTTCTGACACCCTATTCCATAAAATTATGTGTTCGCTGTCTGGTTTTGAATTTGGATTACGAGGGCAGGGAGAGGCCAAAGCAATGTCAGTTTATCGTGTTTGTTCATATCGGTTCCTCGGTTCCGTCGCTGCATTGTTCGTCGGTGATTTCCAGACCTCAAACGCATGCGCCCTTGTGATACTCTGGTTTGGCTCGCTGGTCGTTATGGTTGTTCACCACGGTTGTTCTTATGTTCTTGAATCGCCCATCTCATAAGCAAAGATGGGGTGATTCATTATGGTTGTTCTGATGGTTGCTTATTTAGTGTTATTTCCAATTGAGTTCTTCTTGTCATGCTTTGCTTATGTTCCCAATGTCTGTCTTCCCATATATGGGAATGCGTTTAGGGGTGCAAACCGTGTAGGCCGTGGTGTGTATTGTACCAGCTACAGTGTGTTTTATACTATCTGATGTGGAAGGTATAAATATTGATATCACTTATGTGTTATTATACTTGATATGGTGTGTTTTATTCAAGTTATTAACCACATCTCTTACAAATTTTCCTTGAGATACATATTTATATGGCAGGAATGATTGTCTTGAAGAATAATCATTTATGCTAACTTGGTATTGGTAGTTCCTGGTCATAGGTAGCAGACCAGTACTTGTTTAGTGCAGATAACTGACTATTCTTTTTTCTGAACTTTTTTGTGATATGTGTGTTATGTGGATATCATATTCTAAAGCTTTTCTAAGTATTTAAGGTACAGACATGTGTATCTGGACATGTCACATTTGCTCTTTATTGTGTTGCTAAGGACACTGAAGGTTTGGCTGGGCCACTGCACGGGCTGGCTAATGAGGTACACTTGATTTTATGTATAGTTGATGTCTCTGCCACATCTAGTGTTTGCCAAATGGATCTCCTGGAACAAATTGTTCGTAATAAATGAACAAATTGTAGAACTTGTGGCTGTGCTATTTACTCCCTCCGTCTAGGTGAGTAAGTCATCTTAGGTTGTGCACCGTGACCAAGGAGAAGGAGAAAACGAGAGAACTTAATGTTCATTTGCTAATTAATAGCATTGCATGCAATGAACTAACCACTGCATGTCGTGTTTGGTAGTCTCAAGTCATTAAAAGCATGCACACCCCACATCTCTTATTGGTTGATATGTCAAGAAACAAGAAACGAGGTAGAATTTAATGCACCGCGCCTAAGTGTTTTGGGATTATTTGGTTTTCGTAAGATGACTTACACACCTAAACGGAGGGAGTACCAACTTGCTTTTGCACATGATGCTAAGAAGAAGAAAAACATACTGTCCTATTATTTTTAAAATGGTGTATTTACTATTTTGATGCGCATAAACTGAGAATTGTCACCATATACAGCAGGAAGTGTTGCTCTGGATCAAATCTGTAATGGAAGAGACTGGCAGTAACATTACAACCGACCAACTTAAAGAATATGTATAGAAGACACTTAAGAGTGGAAAGGTAGCTTATCTCAAACCGAGTTATATTTATTCAATTATCAAGCACTAATTATTGCTGAAGGACTATAGTTTTATAATACCTCATGATCTTGTCTATGAGTAGAGAAAATAATGCAATATAGGGATTACTGTTGCCACTCATTTCATGCTCACATGCTCACATGCTTCATGCATCATGTCCCTCATATGCACCGCATTTCAAAAATCTAAATAGCTTTGTCTTCTTTAGTATTACTATTTGGGAGTTCTTGTTGAAGTTGCAATTTATAATGTCTCATGGGATTAAACTCTGTTAAGCTACTGAAAACAGTCACTAAAATTAGCCATTAAGGAGTAGTATAATTTCTATTTATTGCAATCAAGTGGTCTTAGTCTTAACTATTCTTATATTTCTAGGTATTAGCTACCATCAAAGTAAATAAAGATAGAATAAGTGTGCAGAAAATACCTAGTGCCTGTTCGGTTTCTCTCCGCTCCGGCGACTCAGCTCCCGGAGCGGAGCAGGCTGTTGCAACTTTTTACGGAGCAACTCAAACCGAGCTCCGCAGCTCCGTGGAGCGGAGAGATTCCAAACAGGGCTCTAGTATTGAAAGATTATGTAGATCGGAGATGGTTAATATATACATGTGCAGAAAAATGTATAAACAATGCCTGCATCATGCTTGTCATCTTGTGAAAGAACTCATCCAGTGAATTTACTACTTCTAGTGTCTTCATGTAAATCTCATGGGGAAGGTTTATCTATAGATTTGTTTCACTACCACAAATAACTGACATAATATATATTTCTGTGGGCTTTGTAATTGCTCACTAATCCTCTTTGGTGACTTTGTGATTGACCTTGTTGTTGTTATGTAAAAAAGTCTTGCAACATTCTTGATCTATAACCGTGCTGGCTATCTATATGCAGGTTGTAGTGATTAGGGAAGCTTGCAGAACTGTATGAATTTGAACAACAATGGTCGAGAGCAGCACAAATGCTTAGTGGAATTGGCTTGGACTCAGAAATCAAGTACAAGCAAAGCTTTTGTCTCTCTTTACATGTCATTGGATATTCTGGGAAATCTGACCATCTTCTTAAAAACCAGGATGCTTGATGACACAAACAAATTATCCAAGTGTGTCCAGATTGCACGACTATATTTGGAGGTTAGTCCTGTTGGTTAGCCTTTGTCGTCATTGCATTGTCAGCTGGACTAATGTAGTTCTTCATTTTGTAGGATGATGACGCAGTGAATGCGGAAGCTTTTATCAACAAAGCCTCGTTTTTGGTCACAAACAGCAACCAGGAAGTTCTGAACTTACAATACAAGGTTTGTTGGTTCAGAACCAGTTTAATAATCTATATGTCTACAACTAAGGACAAAAATTTAGTTCCCTTGTATCTCTTGTAGGTCTGCTATGGGAGAATTTTAGATCTAAAAAGCTGCACTTCAATATTGTGTTATCTCTCAAATTGAGCAATGCCAAATTGGGGATGAGTAAGGCTTACTCCATTCAGTTGTAGATTTGTTTCTCTCGTGCAATTTACTCGTTTTTAATGTTCTATCTTGTATGGTTCTTTGTTGCCTTGCCGGTGTAGTGGTGCCTAATTTCTATTTTACACCCTTCAAATATTTCAATGTTTTGCTTACTGGATGTAATATATTACCCTACTTGATACTCATGTTTAAGTACTGCAGTGGTTATTAGCAAGTCGTGTTTGGAACTGATACCACCTCCATATTTTATTCTTAAAGATCTTGATGGAACATTGTTTCTATATTTTCTCAGATAGATTGATGAAAATGCTCTTGAGCATGCTCTTAGTGCTGCTGTAACATGCACAATATTGTAACTGATGAGAGGCAGCCACTGTTGCCAACTTGAAATTAGTTTACTCATTCAAGTTCTAGAATTTCTTTATAGCTTTCTGAGTTTACTTCGGTCTTCCATGTATTGGATTTCTCTTTGTGCCCCTATCTATGTTCGTTTCTTGTGTGCAAGTGCTCCATTCTATGTGTGTGACTGTGTGTGACTTGATGAATATGTGTGTGGCTTGACTCTCTGTGCGTGTGTGTGTAGTTTGACTTTGTGTGTGTGTGTATAGCTTGACTGTGTGTGGCTTGATGCCGAATATGTGTGTGGCTTGATGGTGAATATGTGTGTGGCTTGACTCTGTGTGAGACTGTGTGTGGCTTGATGCTAAATATGTGTGTGGCTTGACTGTGTGTGTGACTGTGTGTGGTTTGATGGTGAATATGTGTGTGGCTTGACTCTGTGTGAGACTGTGTGTGGCTTGATGCTGAATATGTGTGTGGCTTGACTCTGTGTGAGACTGTGTGTGGTTTGATGCTGAATATGTGTGTGGCTTGACTGTGTGTGTGTGTGTGTGTGTGATTTTGTGAAAATTGCATTTGTTTGACGGTGTGGCTTGTATGCTTTGCTGAATATTTGGTTGTATAACTTGTGTTTTATGTCACGACTGATTGCTTTGTTGTTTGTTGAATGTGAACAGACCTAGCACTATATTTTTTCTAAACTTTTTGTGATATCATATCCTTTTTTGTACTATTGCTGTCCAGGCAATTGAATAATGCTTTTCTCTAAGTATTTAAGGTACAAACATTTGGATCCGGACATGTCACATGGGCTCTTTATTGTGTTTTTAAGGACACTGATGGGTTTTGTTTGCATGCAACACAGGTATATTTACGTTCTTTACATTTTGCGATGTTGATGGCAAAATGTTTATTTAGTCAAATTTTGCTACTTATGGGTACTTTTGTTTTTAGATGTGTTGTATCCATAACTACCTATTGGCACCAGATATTTGTGCTCAAAATGCAGTATGGACCAACAAAATGGTCTCATTGCAAGGTCACTACCTGGACATATAGGCAAGCAATGTCAAGAGAGGTATTCTTTTGATTATTTTATTTTTGTGGTTCGCTTAAATGCATTTTCCCCTTTGTGCAATGAAGACAAACAGGGGAATGCTTGCTAATTCAGAAACACACTGGTTACATAAGGAGCTGATTCGTTATGAACCTGATTTTGAATTCATACATAACATCTTAGGTGGCATAATCATCTGAATCCAGAATACAGAGAGATGGTTGGACTACTGAGGAACATGCACGAATTAATACCCATCGGGTATATGAGAATAAATGGGCAAAAATAGCAGAAGTTGTTCCTAGAAGGTACTGCCTTGGTCCTCTTTGTTACCAGATTCCTAACATGAATGATGTTGCCCCTGCCAATTCCTCACTCTTTCCTGAACATCATATCGTGTATCAGGCATCTGAATATTGCAGGAATGGGGTACTTCCATTTATGTAACTTCTATTTGTTATCAGTTCTTCTCACCTATAGCTAAAGTCAAAGACGGTGAATTATTGGATTTGCAAGATACACAAAATCAGTAAGTTCATATCCTTCCAAATGGTCGGAGTATGAATTTTATACTGAATCCTTGGTTTCTTGACAACTTTGATATACACACAGGAATAATTACCTACGTTGTTATGATCATAAACTGATTTCCAAGTATTTTTGACTCATACGATGCTTATTACATCATAGGTCATCTTAATCTTCTTTTGTAAATATGACTGATGGTCCTGCTGATAACGTAAGCTACTTTTCTTGCTTCAAGAATAATAGAAACATCATTTACATTGTGAAACTCACATTTTAAGTTGCTCATGTCATTTCAGGCTATCCATCGGCTTGTAAGTCATGAGAGGCAACCACAGTTGCCAACTTGAAACATATAATTTTTTAGGTATGAATGGCTTACCTTAGCCAGAATTTCTATAAGAATACTTCTCATTTTATATGCCTTGCTTTCTCTAGTAAGTAGAACAAGAACACATTTAACATTTCTTTCTGTCCATAGGCCTACAAACTTGTGGGTAGTGATGAAGATAATCAGTTAATCAGCCTGTAACCAGCTTCCTTTTTTCAGGAATGAAGATCTGAATCACCCTCACCCCTCGAGAGAAATCAGTTTAGTCATTCAGGTTCTAGAATTTCTTTATAGATTTCTGAGTTTACTTCGGACTTGCATGTATTTGTGCCCCTATCTATGTCTGTTTCATTTTGTTTCTTGTGTGCAAGCGCTCCATTCTATGTGTGTCTGACTGTGTGTGGCTTGACTCTCTTGTGTGTGTGGCTTGACTGTGTGTGTGACTGTTGCATTTGACTGTGATGTGTGACTGTTTGTGTGACTGTGTGTGTGACTGTGTGAATATTGTGTATTTGATTGTGATGTGTGACCGTGTGAATATTGCATTTTGACTGTGGTTGTGTGTGTGTGTGTGTGTGTGTGTGTGTGTGTGTGATTGTGTGTGTGGCTTGTATGCTTTGTTGAATGATTGGTTGTTGTGGCGTAACACTGCCTTTGCCGGTCCCAAGCCCAGATGTGAAAGTGTGCAGGGAGCTGTAGTTACCTCCTTTGTATTGTTTGCCTTAGAAGTGTGGAAATTCATGGCTTAGGTTATTGTCCTAATCAAATAGTGAATCCTAACATAATGTAGGATTCAAGCTTCAAATGCATCCTTCCTTGCTATGAAAAATCTAGGCATGCCAGGAACTTCCTGATTCTATACCTAATATAATATTAACGGGAGGAAGATTTCATAGTTCTCAATAAGTCGTTTGCCAATCGTTAATACGACGTCTGTGGTTCGGTCTACCCGTGTCCAACCTTGCTACCTCTCCGATCCAACTGGAGTTTGTGCAAACCGTGTCTGGGCTTCCCGTGTCCGTCCCGCCCTCAAATCTTCCTTTTTTAGCCCTAAAAATATCTTCCTTTTTTTCTTCCTTCGCGTGACTCCTTCAGTTCTGCGCCCTGCCGATCCCCCTGATCTCACCTTCTGAACGCGCAGCCAACTCCACCTCCGCCTCCTTCGTGTGGCCAGCAGCGGCACACAACATGTACTTTTCACCAAGATTGTTGCACGGTAGGATCGACGGTGGCAGGTGAGTCTGCCGCCCAACAACGGTATGGCATGGCCTGAACCATGAGGAGTGTGGGGCTCAGCGACGTCTTTTGCTTTCTGATTATTGATTGATTTGTTCCTCGCAGTATTTTCAATCGCGTTTCATGATTTTATTTTTCAGTTTCGTAGCATAATGTGTGTTCCTCACAGGCTAGAAATGCAATTAACTCAATCATGTGAAATATGTAGTTATAGGCAGGTGTGTACAGTTAGGCTCAAGTTTCATAGTGCCAAACTCTAATCTTGATACGCCAATTGTGTCATTTATGTTGTGTGGCCAATTTGGCATCCAATGCATCCCATGCTTATCTTATTTATCTCACTCACTCATCAGAGCACCCTTTTTTGTGATATGTGTGTTTCATTATGTCTTACGTTGATATCATATCTATTATTGTATTACTGTTGTCCAGTCACTGGAATAATGCTTTTCTGAGTATTTAAGGTACAGACATGTGGATCTGGACATGTCATATTTGCTCTTTATTGTGTTGCTAAGGACACTGTTCCTACATCAGTGTCTAAACATGGCAAAGTTCCAACATCAACTCAATGATGCGGCGTATCTGCAATAGTTGGATATTTTCATCCAGCTCCAGTACCACAACAAGCATCACAGGTTTAGATGGGTCCTTCTTTGTATACTGGGCCACTCTTTGGAGCACTCTCTCGTTTCACCTGCAACATTTGGTGTTGGTAGTGTAGCTGAACCATTCCCTATAGACACAAACACTCTGTTCAATGTTGCAGAACGGTCGAGAAAGTAGGTCCTGTATAGTTCCATTTATTTCACTTGTTATCATCATAGCCGTTTAACTTTAGCTGATTCTTGTGCTCGGTCATGTACCAGCCTCCAGTACCTAACTGGCTTCAAGAAGAGCTCCTAAAGAAAAATCAACTCCATTGAGTGCTTCGGTGCAACATCTTGACTAATTCTGATTCCATGGAATCTGAAGATGCTGCAGAACCACCAAAAAGAGCTAACCAAACTGATAGTAGAAGCATTGGTTCAGCAAAATCAATCAAAGCTGATGAAGCTGATGAGGTGCTCTTCACTATTTTATTATTAATTATTAGTGTAGTACATATTATGGTAATAATCTGCCCTATTGTGATTCTCTTGCATTCAAAAATCTTCCCCTAATGATTTATTTCAGTACGAATAGTACCATGTCCAAGTTAACGGGTCTAAAGATAAATAGTATTGTGGCGAACTTTAAATAAATAATGATTTTTGGATAACTTTTGTAAATCAAGGTGAACTAATTTAATCATGATAGGAAGGTTGGGTTGTTAGACTGGGTGGGAGGTTAGTGCCTGGTGGCTTTGAGAAACTAAATAATTTACCTACTTCCGTCTTTTTTTAACGTTTATATAGTAATTTCTGAAGAACAGTGATTACATAATGGTGAGAGAAATGGCATGGCTAGGTGTCAATTTTTTTCCATATTTGATTTGTCAGTGAAGCAACCTGGATATTATTTACTTGAGACTTGAGGTTACTTGCCATACTGTATTATTGTACTGACGAATCTCCTAGTTCCTACAATAATTTTTCTGGAGCAGTGTCTTTTTTCATCTATACATATGTTCACTTCTTTTGGATCTGGTGGAAACATTGGATGCTAGTTACTGAATAGTTAATCCTTTTTAGATTAAAAAAATAGTTAATCCTTTTTGTTTTGTTCATATTGACTTGGATATTAACATGGCCCTCATTTCAAATCGATGAACTGGACTTGAATCATTTGCAGGATGAAGTTGAAGTGGCACGGATGGCAGCAATCAACAAGGAAATTAAACGTGTGTTGACAGAAGTTCTTCCGAAGGTTGTCATTGCATGGAGGTTGTTTACTTATGTAGCTAGGTTTTAACATGTACTTCTATTCTAAATTCAGCAAGACTGCCATTTCTTACTTTTGTACTTTTGTATTTTTGTCATTTCCAGGTTACTGATGATCTTTTTAGTGAGATTGCAAGCAAAGTTATGAATGAAGAGGATTCATGAGTTGGTGATCTTTTTGATGAGATTGCAAGCAAAGTTATGAACAAAGATGATTCATGATCTGAACGTGAGTGAATTATACTAAAACTTAGTGTAAATAGGAAATTACATTGTTGATTATCGCCTCTGTCTTGCAGCAAATGAGACCATTGGTGTCTCTAGCTCAAAGGAGACCACAACTAAAGTTGTAGTCCCTGCTAAGACAAACAATGCTAGCTCTGATGATATTGTGCTAAGTTCTCCTGAAGGTGCTCTTCTTGGTCTTACTAGTTATGATTCAGATGACGAGGATGATGGTGATGGTAAGGGTTTAATTCCAAATTTATCATCTAAAATTAAAGTTGGTGCAGCTCATCCTAAAGAAAGCAAGTTCTTGAACAACACAAAGCAAACATGGTTTCCTAAATTTATTTTCTAAAGAAGGAAGAGCTTATTATTAACCTGTCGGTGTACTAGAGTAGGGGTACCCTAATATCCCGAACTTGTGCACGGGCAGTTGCAGCACCCCACGGCAAGGCTTGCCGGGTGACCGCCAAGGTCCCCCGTGGTTCCTTTGGAGCCATTCAAGAACAAAGTATTCAGGCCAAGGAGACGAGGCCCCGGCAAGAGGAGCTTGCCAGGAAGGCCAACCAAGGCATCTCAAGGAACTTGCCGCGACGTGCCACGCATCCCGGCGAGGCCCGGTGAGCGACAAGCTTCCGGACGCGACAAGACTACGACCTCGGTAAGGCGCTTGCCGCGGCAAGCTACCACTATGTACCCGCGCTCCAGCACATCCACCAACGTGTCGCCCTGGGGCCTTTCCAGGCGCGCGTGGCAAGAGGCTGTGCGGCCAGCGGTGCGCGGTGGCAAGCGACGCTGACAAGATTGCCATTGTGGCGAGCGGTGGCGTCCCTGACGGTCCCTTTTTGCACTATTTGGGCGACGCAGACGGGCATTTAATGCCTTTGTCCCCTGCCGTCAGGGTTAGGTATGATACACTGTACAGGTAGTTGTACCAATCGCAATTCCTTTTCCATTTTTACCCTTGTCTACGTTGCCACCTGTCGGAGACCCCTTTAGCATATAAAAGGAGGCCCATGCGCAATGTAGAGGGGGGTTCGGAGGCAGAAAAACACTCACGCTCGATCTCGTTAGCAGCTAGTGTGTATTGTAGCACTCAGCGCTGCCGAGCAAGAACTCAATATACTCAGACATGCAGCAGTAGGAGTGTTATCTCTCCGGAGAGCTCCGAAGCTGGGTAAACCGCTCGTGTGCTTCGCCTCGATCCGCTCTTCGTGCGATCTCCGCCCCCCGCCAAACCGAAAGGGGCTCGGTCCGCCGATCCCATAGGTGTTCGTGGATCAGTTTCCCCGACATCTTTGGCGCGCCAGGTAGGGGGCGTCGAGGTTGTGTGAACCTGATCCAGCGTTCACATGAGCTAGATCTTCATCTTCTTCATCGACATGCCGCCGAAGAAGAAGGCTTCGATGGCAGCTATTCCGTCCACGTCGATCCCACCACCACCGGAGCAAATGGGTGGTGGGGTAGACGCCGGCGGAAGAACGGGCATCGATGAGGGAGCTCACGGTGCAGCCAGGTCCAAGGACAAGGCTGCGCAGACCTCGGCGTCCGTACATGCACCGCGCCCATCTCAGGAGGCGCAGGACCGACAGCGTCATGGTATTCGCAGTGCCATACGTTCATTGGACCAAGATCGAGCTTGTGGATCTCGGGGTGCTCAAGACCAGCATGCACGCCAACATGTTGGCACGAGCGAGACACGGTCGCCTGGACGGGATACTACTCCTTCTAACATAGTTAGAAGTCCGAGCATATCCCGCTCCTCACACCGCTCGCCACTGCCGCCCACCACTCCAGCAGAAGCTTTGGCGCGAGCTCAAATGCTCCTGGATTACCCTCCAACGGCAGACAAGATCGATAAATGGAGGGCCACCATTCAGAGTCTCATCGGCTTCGCCAACGGCGACACTCCGCGGCAGCCGAGTACATCGCTGCCGCGGCAGGACTGCCAGGCACGAGCCGATGGCGACGAAACTGGTGGGGGTGCAACCACCATGCACTCTACACCCCGAAGGCCAAGATTGCCGACTCGCCGGATCCACCTCAACAGCGACTCCACCGCATCATCAGATCCACGAGCTCGTCGCGATCAGCGCCAAGTTCTTCACAAACGACAGCAAGAAGACGCTCGTACTCGCCTCGAGCGCCGAAGAGAAGCGCCGCGTCAATCGGACCAGCGCGCTGGGCCCTTCGTCGACATGCATGCACCAGGGGAACCAGGCAACTTGCCGTACGCGGTAGGTTGCCCTGCGTTCACTCGTGAGTTGCGGCGAGTCCAGTGGCCCAGCACGAAGAATTTCAAACTAGACGTACCAGAGAAGTACGACGGCAAGTCGCATCCGTCGGAGTTCCTCAGCATCTACACCATCGCGGTGCAAGCTGCCGGGGGGCAGGACGACAAGATCCTGGCCAACTACTTCCTGCTGGTGCTCAAGCCCAATGTCAGATCCTAGCTCATGCACTTGCCGGACAACTCCATATCCTCCTGGACAGACCTATGCCATCAGTTTGTCGGTGCCTTTACGGGCGGCCACAAGCCTCATGGCCAAGAGAGCGACCTTCATCTGCTCGCCCAGAAGGAAGGAGAGCCCCTGCGCAAGTACATTCAGAGATTCAGCCGCGCACAGCACAACATCCCAGATGTCCACCCTGCCGCAGTAATCAGCGCGTTCCATCAGAACATGTGAAACCGCAGGATGCGGGAGGAGATGGTGATGTGCAAGATCAGAGACGTCAGTGATCTATATTCCCTGGCCGACAAGTGTGCACGTGCTGAGGAAGGGAGGAAACTCCCGGAGAGAATACAGAAGCAGGAGGATCCGATAGTGAGGAGGCTGCCCCGGCAAAGAAAAACCGGCGGCGGAACAACAGGAAGAAGAAAGGCAAAGATGTGCTAGTCGCTGAGCAGTCTGGCAATGGAGGTGGCGCCAAGAAAGCCAAAGCTGGTAGCTCCGGCGAGGAGATTACCGCAGGCACCAACTACCAGGCTGTGGCGGTCACCGACAAGTAGGACGTCACCAACAAGCAGTACTGCAAGATCCACCGCACCAAGGGCCATGACCTCCAGAGCTGCAAGAAGGTCGAGCAGCTTGTCGAGCAGCAAAAGGCTGAATACGAGCGACGCGACAAGGAGAAGGCCCAGGAAGGTGCTAGAGGAGCCGACAAGAAACGCCCCGGCCGAGGAGGACGCCGCGGCAAGGCCAAGCAGCGGCAAGAAGACAAACCTCCCCGCGGCCGCGACAAGGATGAAGATGACGACGACGATGAAGATATGGATGATGACGAGACCAATGAGCAGGAGTTCCAGAAAGCCACAGAGGTCCTGTGCGTTGACGGCGGTGCTTCTCTGCATACTTCACACCGCCAGCTCAAGCAGTGGGTGCGGGAAGTCAATGCGGCAGAACCACCCGTCGAGTCACGCAAGCCTCTGAAATGGTCCAGCACGCCTATCGTCTTTGATATTGAGGACCACCCTGATCGCATAACTGCGGTCGGGTGCTTGCCGATGTTGGTTTCACCAACTATCCGCAACCTCAAGGTCACTAAGATGCTAGTTGACGGCGGGGCCGGCTTGAACCTGATCTCCTCCGCGGTGCTCCAGAAACTCCAGATCCCTGATGGCGAGCTCGAAGAGACCAGCACATTCCAAGGAATCAATCCGGGAAGGAGCAAGCCGAAGGGAAAGATCATGTTGCCTGTAACATTTGGCAGCGAGTTGAACTTCAGGACTGAGAGGGTCACTTTTGACGTTGCTGACTTTCCATTGCCTTACAATGGGATACTCGGCCGTCCAGCACTCACCAAATTCATGGCAGCCTCTCACTATGCATACAACATGCTGAAGATGCCAGGACCGATAAGTGTCATCTCTATCCCTGGCGACAAGAAGGATGCTCTTATCTGCGCCGACAAGATCTACCGAGAAGCAGCAGCCGCAACAGATCGCAAGTCACTTGCCGTTGAAGCTCCCGGGGCGAAGAAGCAGACCAAGTCCGGCAAGAGTTCTGATGCCCACTCCGGCAAGCGCACCTCTTCGAAGTGCTGCGCTACCGTCGAGGACGCACCATCGAGCTCCACCGGCAAGTGTAAGAAGACAATGGCAGCTCCACCAGAGACCAAGAAGGTGTCCGCCAAGGAGGATGGCACTGGTGGTACCTTCACCATCAGTGCCACTCTCGACCCTAAATAGGAAAGCGCGCTCGTTGCTTTCCTGCGGGCGAACGTCGACGTATTTGCGTGGCAACCGTCTGACATCCCCGGTGTTCCCAGGAAAGTAATCGAGCACCATCTTGCCGTCTGTCGTCATGCGCGGCCCGTCAAGCAGAAAGTCAGGAAACAGGCAGTGGAGCGCCAAGAATTCATCGCATAAGAAATCAAGAAATTGGAAGCAGCAAGCCTTGTCAGAGGAGTGCTCCATCCTACATGGTTGGCCAATCCTGTAGTCGTGCGCAAGGCAAACGGGAAATGGAGGCTTTGTATTGCCTTTACCGATGTCAATAAAGCTTGTCCCAAAGACCCATTTCCCTTGCCGCGCATCGACCAGATTGTTGACTCCACGGCCGGATGTGACTTGCTTTCATTTCTTGATGCTTACTCAGGATACCATCAGATCTTCATGGCAGAGGAGGATGAGGAGAAGACCGCATTCATCACCCCATGTGGCACATACTGTTTCGTACGGATGCCTTTCGGTTTAAAGAATGTTGGTTCAACATTTGCAAGGGTAGTCCATGACGCTTTTGAGCCGTAAATACACAGGAATGTGGAAGCCTACATGGATGACATAGTGGTCAAGAGCAAGGACAAGGCGACTCTGATTCAAGATTTAGACGAAACCTTTGCAAACCTGCGCAAGATCAACCTCAAGCTTAACCCCGAGAAGTGTGTGTTTGGAGTCCCCTCCGGCAAGCTTCTCGGGTTCTT